TGATATAACTATTTGGAAGAGCCTAAGAACCTAAGACAACTAATGAACATTAGAAAGAGGCAGACAACATTTAAGCCACACTATGATAAGAGAAAACTAGGAACATGTTGGGACAGCTGGAAAAAAATGATGGGGGAAAAGTTAGAGGATTCTTGATAGGCATTCTGCACAATTTGTAACAAATTAACAGTTGAGTCTTTAAATTCTGTTGGAGATGGTGAGATGTGCAGAGACATTATCACATATGCCAGTTGGTAAGACACCTGATGATAACGACTGTTAGGGAATACAGGTCTGCCATCAGGCATACTTGCAAGCGTCAGCCCAAGACAAGGGTATCAGGTGAGCCAAGAGTTACACTAAGCCTCCAAATGGACCATTTCATTGTAACTAACAATATAGTGGATCACTCCTGTTGTAAATGTATTAATGGAAACCTAGTGTTTAGTTATTTATTTTGTTTTACTGCTAAAGAATGTAGGTCTAACTTTTCATTTTGATTTTAGAATAATCCTATTTAGTTTTTACTGGCAGATATATGATGAAAAAATATTCCACGGAATTATTATTTTTTTTTTTTTTTTAAATGATTTTCAAAAGAATGTAAAATATTTAATCAAGATGTTTAAAATGTGATGTCAGTTCACTCAATATTTATTGTTTTGTTTTGTTACTTGTCAAAAAAATATTTGCAAAAGTTACTATGTTTTGCTGTTACACATACATTTTTGCATGAATATGAAACCCCAATGGTAAAAACACATGCATACAAATATGTAAAACAGACACATATGACTAAACATAAAATACACAAAGTACACGTTATACCACACTGCACAAATACTATACATAGCCTTCACAGTATCGGATGCACACATGGCATAAGTCTATACAGAATTTATAAATAACATGATGTTGTAAAAGGTCTATACTTGATCACATTTGACTGTCAAACTTACTCATGTATATGTTAAAAGTGTCACACATATATATATGTATATCTTAACCATGAAATAATTGATGGACATCTGTGGAATGGGTAATGTGTTATTCTAAGGAATGTTTCTGTCTGTAATAAGATTTCTCTCACTGCACACATATATCTCCATAAATGCTTCAATTCCCCCCCCCCTCCCCCTTCTCCCCCCATAGAGACTCTGAACTCAGTGCCAGCATCCTGTAACACTGGCATGGATCCACATGAGTGAAACAAAAGTCAAACATTTTATTAATAATCATTTTGTAAGTTTTTGAATTGTCTAAATTCAACAGTCTCTTCAGCTTGCTCTTTTTTGTGCCTGTCAAGGAAATTGAAACCGACACAACATGAACACAGATTATCTTGGGGTATTTTGCACCTTTGTGCAACAACTCAATCGGTCAATCAATCAGTCAATCAATCAACCCAGTCTATCAGCACGTCCTTTAGAGAATGTCACTCTCTTCATGGCACACCTGAAAGTCTCCCTTTTCCTAGCCAATTCTCCAGCCCTGTGTGCTTTCATAAACAGTGCATCTTCAATGTCCTGTACTCATCATCATAGAGGTCGGCTACTGCCGAGTTTTCTTTGACAACTAGACATCTAATTACTATCTCAGGATCAGGAAAGTTCATCCTTCTCTTTCTACTGTGCACACATATCCCATAAATCACATCAGGTCTGCATAAAGTAGAAGTGAATGCCATGGTACTTAAAGCCCACCACTTTAGTCAGTTATAAATGTGTAATTGTCAATACTGATAACCTTTGCCCACACATTTGTGTTATACCAACTTACTATAAATGAAACAAAATCTGTTGATTTATATTTTGCTTTGAGTATTTCATATTTTTACAGTCAGTGATGATTTTCATACAATTGTTACCATATTGTTCCTCATATAGGACACATATTTGTATAAAACCACCCCTATCTTTTGTGCCCCAAATAAGGAAACAAATATTTTAAACACGAAACAGAACAACTTTGATATTTTATTACATATTTGAAACACTGGTATATTTAGAACCTCATATTTGAACATCAAACACAACAAATATATTTAATACCCTAATTATGGTAGTTGATGGTGGCTGAGGAAACTGGGTGAAAGGGAATGTATCAGACGTGAAGGCTGCTGAAAAAAGGGGGTTGGGGAATACTAGATCAGGGTTTGTCATGAGGCCAATAGTGAGGGAAGGATGTATGGAAAGAACATGAACGATTTCATAAGAGGGACTGTAAAGAAAAAACTTTATGCCTCCTATCTATGTAAACAGAGTATTGGTGTGCACATTGTAAATTTAACATTGTAAATTTAACAGGACTATTCAAACACTCTTCTGCCCTGTGTAGCATTTTCAACCTGTTTAAGTAATAGATGAAATCAAAGATTTTAAAATAGATTCCAGAAGTGTTCAATTAAAAACAACATAATGTCATAGAATTCCTCAGTACAGAAAGCGAGACCCCATTTCACATCCACAAACGTTTGAAGAATATTTATGCAGATTCAGCAGGGGATGGCAGCAATTGTCTGATGTTGGGTACATTCATTGTCATGACGCTGATTTAGGTCAGTCCTAGCATTTATATAGATGTTTTTTAAAAAGGAGGCAACGTTTTTTGACGTCTCTCATATATATCATATATTTAATTGCCACATTATGTGTATAAGATTACTCCCAATTTAAAAATTTCAAGAAAGTGGGGAAACATATTCTCTTATACACAGAAAAAAAAATTATGGTATATTATTGTATGATAAAAAGCATAAGCTAGTCTGTGGTGGTGATGTTATTTTTCTTCTTCACATTCACTGGCTTTAAATTGTGGCGAAAAGTTCTGGTTGTTCATCCACTCATGGACTCTGGTCCTATTTCAGAACTTAAAATTTGTTTGCACATATGTTTTACTGATATGGTTTATTTTTATATGACCTTTCAGTTCCTCCCCTCATAGGCAAATAACTACTTAAAAGAAAAAACTCCTAATAAGTCGTCTTTTATGACATGACATGCTCTTTCCTAAAAATAGGTCACTGGAACCTACATAAAAAGCACTAATATAGTGATGGCCAACACTAAGTTGGTAGGCATGCGGGCAAGTTTAGATAGATGATCCATAAGTTGAAAGAAAGTGTAAGGAACATTTGTGTATCATCATCATCATCTTCTTCTTCGGTCACCGGCTGTAGTCTCTGATGGAAAGTTCTGGTCTTCGTTCTTCCATTTAGACTTTGGCTTTGTGCCAGGGTTTGAGTTTTACTTGTACATCTGCTTTACTGGCTTATTTGTGTTCAGTTATTTATTCCTTACCATTCAGGCCGATGCTCTCCGGCTTCGAAGGAAGCTCTCAGTTATTCGACTCTTACAACAGGCTTATTGGAGTGGTAGTGGATGTCTGTTCTTGATTTTTCCCACAATAGAGCCACAGAACCAGCACAGTGGAATTTGTGTATGATGACACTGGGAGTTGGTGGTTGAGTGTAGATACATGATCCATAGATAGAAAGTGTATGTTTGTTAGTATCTTTTGTTTATATGCTAGAAGTTTGGTACTGAAGTGTCTGATGTTCTTAAGTGTGTGTAAATAAATATGATGCTTGTCTCATTTGACTGTTGATAGATGTACATAACTTGCTCTGGGTGATGGCTGTTGACAATGTAATAGATGCTGTATTGTTTTCAAGAATGCCTGAATTTGTGCTGTAATTAATGTGGCATTATTAAATACAATGATGATCCAGTAGAATAGGATTTCTGTGCATTTATTGTCGAGTTAAGTGGTTTATTTTTCAGTTATTTTTTTTTGCATATTATTGTACAACTGTTTTTACAGCCTGCACTAACTATTTTTAGGGCAGTGTAGGACAGAATATACCAGTGCCAGTCTTGGTCTTTATGAGAGGCTAACCTAGGTCTTCTTCTTCTTCTTCTTTGCATTCACCGGCTATAAACTCCGGCGGAAAGTTCTGATCGTTCACCCAGTTCTGGACTACAGTCCTGTTCCAGAACCTGAGTGTTGCGTGTGCATCCGTTTGATAGATCTGCCTAATGTGTATGCAGACTGTTGGTTTCTTGCCTCTCAGGCAGATGCACTTTGACTTCAAAGAAAGCTCTCAATTAGTCAACTCTTATGACATGCTTTGGGGTAGGCAGTGGGTCTATTCTTGTTTTCACTATAATAATGCCCCGGAGCCTGGAAGTTAATCTAGGTAAAATCACTACCTGTGAAATGAGATGCTTGAAAAAGAGCCACTAACTTAGTCATCAGAGACAAAGTAAGAAATGATATTATCAGACAAATTGTTTTGTTGTCTAATAAGAATGTAGCCAGAACAACTACCAACAAAGGCACTACATATGAAAAGATCTGATGTGAAAGTAAGAGGGTTTGATAGGAGAAGATGAATTAATGACATTAGAGATCTTCTACATTGACACGGAATGACTGTTCTTCCCCATGATGCTTAAAGGCAGAAGTGGAAAGTGGTTATGATGATAATGATGATGATGTAGGACAGTGTTAATTTGTGTATGATGATCACCATCTTCTTATTCTTTGTTTACCAAGCATAAGCTCTGGCAGAAAGTCTTCCATTGTTCCATGACCTGACTTTTGCCAATGAACCTCTCTCACCTCATCACCCTGCCTCCCACCTCCACCTTACTCTCAAGCCATTTCAGTTTTCTTTCCAAGACTGCAAGCTTCTTCACCTTAGTCCTACAATAACATGCACCAAGAAAAGCAAGCCATACAAATTGTGAGTAAGCACGATTTTTATCACTTGTCAGACATAAGTTATTTACATACGAACATTAAGTTTTATGCATTCAAAATATAAATATTCTTTACTGAAATAATAATTGCATGAAAGGCAGTTTATAAACTAGATATCTTGGCATAATATACTCAAAGATAGTCACAGTCGATGCAAAGCATGTTATATATTGCCAAAAAAAAAAAACTCCACTTCCTTACCCTGCCTCCCACCTCCACCATATTCTCAAGCAATTTCAGTTTTCTGTTGCAAGACCAAAACTTCTAAATTCTTCCTCTGCAACATCTACAGAAACTTCCCCATCATCATCTTCATCATTGCCATTTGCTTTGCCAATTTCATGGTGCGTGGGCTCATGGGTCAACATGCTGAGCCGTCTCCTCAATGTCCGTGACAAAGGCGGAATGTAATCTCGAGGTATCAAGTAGGTGGACATGTTAAACAGGTCCAAAAACACCTTGTAGCGATCACTGGAAGTCAGCAAGTAAAATTAGTATAATTGAATGCTATAAGAAATAATTATAAAATACAAAATATACAACAACAAATGATGTCATACATCCTATAATGTGCTTAGAGGTGAGAAATCATCCACAGCTGTATAGTGAGGCTGAACACTGAAATTATTATAGTTTTATAGACTATTTGGCACTAGGTGTGTGATGTGAGACTAGTCAGCACTAGGTGTCTGATCTGAGACTAGCCGGCACTAGGTGTGTGATGTGAGACTAGCCGGCACTAGGTGTGTGATGTGAGACTAGTCGGCACTAGGTGTGTGATGTGAGACTAGTCGGCACTAGGTGTGTGATGTGAGACTAGCCGGCACTAGGTGTGTGATGTGAGACTAGCCGGCACTAGGTGTGTGATGTGAGACTAGCCGGCACTAGGTGTGTGATGTGAGACTAGTAGCCTAGGTGTGCACTAGGTGTGTGATAAGAGACTAGCCGGCACTAGGTGTGTGATAAGAGACTAGCTGGCACTAGGTGTGTGATAAGAGACTAGCCGGCACTAGGTGTGTGATGTGAGACTAGTCGGCACTAGGTGTGTGATGTGAGACTAGCCGGCACTAGGTGTGTGATGTGAGACTAGCCGGCACTAGGTGTGTGATGTGAGACTAGCCGGCACTAGGTGTGTGATGTGAGACTAGTCGGCACTAGGTGTGTGATGTGAGACTAGTCGGCACTAGGTGTGTGATGTGAGACTAGTCGGCACTAGGTGTGTGATGTGAGACTAGTCGGCACTAGGTGTGGGATGTGAGACTAGCCGGCACTAGGTGTGTGATGTGAGACTAGTCGGCACTAGGTGTGTGATGTTGTCAGCATCACACCGGCCATCTTTACTTCCTAGAACTCCTCGTGCGTGTTTAAACCTTAGACATCTAGGCTGGTAGGTGAGCATCTAGTCACTATGATACATCAGCTATCATGGAACCTTGACAGGTGTCTAATTAAATAAAGTACTTATACTACTTCTCATTCTTTTTAGGAGGAAATTTTTCGTTACTTGAAGCCATACTCTGGCTTTGCCGGGTCCCACAATATAGCCTGGCCATAAATATGGTCTAGAGGCTGAACGCGGTTTCTGGGACCTCTCCACGGTGATCCCCACCCGCATGGTGGCACATTGTGTCATCGGGTGTTTATCGCTTGTGTGATGTCCTGGTGGGGTAGAAAGTCAGTCAGTCAGTAAAGTACTCTCGGGCAAGGACAAAGAAAATGAAAACGGGGGTGCCTACCTGACGGTAGAGCGAAGGTACTGGTAGCCTGATGATCCTCCTGTGCCCACTTTACTGCCGATCATTCTCTGAACCATCATCACGTGGTTGTCTGTGTTGGAAAAACCAACATAACTCACAATGTTAATGCTCATCATAGCAAGAGTTAAGGGGAGATCACTAGCAAACTTACAGCTACAATAGTTTTCTTTACATATCTGTATATACAAAGTATGATAACCCAGTTCCTTCCCCTCAGCCAAACTGGGCATATGGCACAGGTCAGAACTCTAGTCACACAACATGGACCTGAGTGTGACCTAAGCCATGTAATTAATGGCTTGTGACCTCAACTTGGGGGCTTAGTCTTAAGACTGACATCTCAACTTGTGACCTGTAGCTTTTATGTCTTGATATGACCTCTCGGCTGGCTACTCGGTGGTAAGTAAATTGTACTCCACCATGACATCACACAGAGCGATAAACATCTGGTTACACAAAGTGCTACCATGTGGATGAGGATCACGCAAAAAGGTGTTTAACAGCTAGGTTATATTGCTGCCTCTGGCAACAGCCTGGGTGGGGCTTCAAAATAACGAAAAATTGTATCCCACAGAGGGATGACAAAAACCATGTAGCTACTGTGGTGTTTGATGATCCCAAAAAAAATAATAAAAAAAAATGTGGCAAGTCATCAGTTTCTGCTAATTGTATTAAAAAGCCATACCTTCAATATGCAGTGGTATGCTGTTAATTGAGATATTCACATACAAAATAAAATGTAACAGTTGTTGGCTGTTGTTTTGGTATCATAACATACTAATTAGCTAAATCTATAAGCATTGTCCATCCCATCCAGGACTGATGTGATACATGAAGTGACTTGAGTCAGACTCGACTTGGAAGCATTCTCTGTGACCTGGACTTGAGACTTGACTCAGGACTTGGAGGCATTCTCTGTGACTTGACTTAAGCCTTGACTCGGGACTTGAAAGCATTCTCTGTGACTTGACTTGAGTCTTGACTTTGGACTTGGAAGCATTCTCTGTGACTTGACTTAAGCCTTGACTCGGGACTTGAAAGCATTCTCTGTGACTTGACTTGAGTCTTGACTTTGGACTTGGAAGCATTCTCTGTGACTTGACTTAAGACTTGACTCAGGACTTGAAAACATTCTCTGTGACTTGACTTGAGTCTTGACTTTGGACTTGGAAGCATTCTCTGTGACTTGACTTAAGACTTGACTCAGGACTTGAAAGCATTCTCTGTGACTTGACTTAAGACTTGACTCGGGACTTGGAAGCATTCTCTGTGACTTAACTTAAGACTTGATTCGGGCCTTGGAAGCATTCTCTGTGACTTGAGACTTGGCTTAAGACTTGACTTGGAAGCATACTTGGTGACTTGAGACGACTTGGGACTTGACTTTGAAACATTCTCTGTGCTCATCTAACAGTAAACACTTGGTGGGTGATGCGATCAATATCTTACCTGCCACCTTTGCTTCCCATAAAATTTTATATTATTTCAACTTGCTTCAGTTTGGGGACCAAGGGAGATAGGAACACATGACCACCAACAAGCCAGCAGGAAAGACAGCCACCATGTTACCGTCCCTGACCATTGAACTCCTCTCCTAGCTGGTAACCAAAAGTTTGCCATATAATCTAGCAATTAAAAAAAAAAAAAATCACTATTTTGACCACAGATCAACAAGGCAGAGTTGATTCATGAACTGACATCCCATCACTCAGGGCATTCTTATAAGCACTCTGTCTCAATTTTCAGCAGCCAGTGCAGAGTTACATTACCACTGGTGCCAGTAGCACTCACTCTGATTATGTGTTCTCTAAGCGTCAAGCATCGGCCAGACCCCCTCTGTCACTCCCTACTGCATCACTCTCGCCAGACTGTGATGATTAACTTGCTCCTCCGAATTGTACACCTTCTCCCACAAGGCACTAACCATGTCTGCCTATATTCCATCAAGTTGTGCAGAGCCAGCCAGTGTGTCTGCCTGTTCATTTCCCAACACACCTGCATGACCCAGAGAAAAGATCCAGGCAATGCTCCTCACCCTAAGACCTCTGAAGCAAAGGGTGTCACTCTGCACGCAGCATGCCTGTTCCTACCTTCTCTAACATGCAGTTACAATCACAAGGTAGATCCCAGATACCCTGTTCAACCTTCAAAGAAGTTATAAGTAGTGCACACATAACGGCTACACTAGACAGGTATAACCTGCAGTCCTACGCATGTAAGGATGCTGTATTAATGAAGCTCCTATATATTGTATTAGTAGTGGATAATTATATGTCACTAAGGTTGGGAAAAGTATTCTCGCAAGCTATAAAGAGCCAGTTTTAACATACGGCTGTGAATCCTGGACAATTAATAAACAGGCTGAACAATATCTTGAGGCCTCTGAGAGGATTGTAACTGACTCACAGATTATGCTGAGAAAGGTGGAGATAGGCATGCTCCATGCAGAGTGGCAAGCATCACTTCAGAGGTCCCGGGTAGTTAGCATCATATGGATATTTTCTCTAGGTCATGCAGGTATGTTGGGAAATAGGCAGGCAGATAGACATGCCTGTTCTGCATCGCTTGGTGATGAACTGATGTATGACAAGCTGGATGTTGTGAAAGCTCTTTGGGAGCGATTGAATTAAAATTGGATTTGGCTGGCGCTCGACACTCAGAGGAATTACGAGAGGGATGTACAATCAGACAGTTATTTTTGCCATTGGAATTGGAACTCTTCGCTTGCTGCTGAAGATGGGGACAGAGTGCTTATGGGGGTGTACCGAGTGCTGTGATGTCGCTTCTTAATTCAACATATGAGATGTCATTTTACAGAAGAGTCCTTAGAATTCTTTGGACAGCTAAGAAGAGTGACCCAGTTGTTTTGAAAGAGGCAGGTGCTCAAAGACAATTTATCACAAACATCAGAAAGAGACAGTCATCCTTTTTAGGTCTAGTTATGAGTAGAGGAAACATGGAATATGTTTTCACCACTGGAAAGATTTGTGGAAAGAGAGGCAGAGGAAGACAGTGCGAGAAGATTTTGGACAGTATTTTGTAATTTTATGGAGGGGGTCAACACACAAGCTGATATACCGAGTTGCTGATCGCTTATTGTGGAGAGGCATGATTGCCTAAGCCGGTTGGCAAGGTACTTGATGATGATGAATGGGTAAAGGAAGACCCTTAGCAATTACTGACTTGAGGGTGTGATGTGGTAAGTCTTCAGGGAACATCTGTATTTGTACACTGAAGACAGAGGGAAGGATATATGCCAGACTTGCATCTCCTCTCTATGCAGAAAAGGGGGGACAATTGAAGAAGTCAAACACTTACATCTCCACTTAGTACACAGGGAGTCGATGTCCATAAGAAGGGAGAGAAGCTTGGATGGCTGATTGAACCGTGGCTGGTCATGGTACAGTGAGATGAGTAATGCACCCTTGAATGCCTGATGACTGATGCGACGATCACCTGAGGAAACGAAAGAAATGACAATTTAAAAAATGATAATGATAAACAATTTGAGAAGATATTTGTTTCAGAAACTGTCATTTTCTTGGCTGAGGCGACATTTTGTCTGTCTCACAAATAGACAATATATGCTTCGTCCTGGGTCAAATAAGAGTATTTGAAACTAAATCCTGATAGCATGCTAAGAGTAAAAACGTAATGTAGAGAGATGTGAACCAGAGACATTGCCCATGGTTATAAACCATAAGTGCTCTGCCACCAGTACGGACAGCTGATAAGAAACTGTCCTCCTGTGTCGCTGTCCTCACTTCATAGCTATAGCAACGTTCCTTCATTTACCCCTGAGTAACCATTTCCTATAGGCTGGGTGAACCCCAGAAACCTTTTGGTTTCGAACACAGGCCGTGGGCTTCAGTGAGTCGCTGCTGGATTTGAAATCGAGTTTCCTATCGACTGAACTAACACGGTCCACAACATTGTATTGTTTTGAAAATAAGATCAGGAAGTTGTTACAGAATGATTATAAAAGTTAGTTGCGTATCCTTTACAGGAAGTTGCACAACCAACCTCAATTTTTGTTAGCTCATTTGGTTTTACTGGGCAATTTCATGTTCATTAGTTTGACATTGCTTTCTTAATGGTCAGCTCTGCATACCCTTGTCGAAATCAATGCAAGTGGATCTGATGCTAAATCTCCCGCAATTAGAATTGAACCGGGCACCTTGCAATTATGAAGTGCGTTTAGCATGTAAGCCAGACGTCGGCATAATGATTATAAATTACAAAATGGCATTGAAGAATTGTATTTTATGAACTTTAACCGCTCTGTATTTAAGGAAGCCTCCTTGGATGGCGGGGAAAGACCAAGACCTGCCCCTGCCTTTCCTTGAGGACCGACCAGTCTGCATGCCTAAATGGGTTCTCCGGGGGGGGGGCAACGATTTATGAAAAAATGAAAAAAAAAAAATCAATCGCGTTTAACCTACTGTGAGCAGTATGGGTAATTATAACTTAGTTTATTAGTATGGTTAACATGTATGTGTCTGATTTTGTACAGCATTGAACACAAACCAAGACAAAAGGCAACACTTACAAAATTGACAAATAAAAGTTTTTCACACACACACACACACACAAAAAAACACAAAAAAAAGGATGGGTAATGAAAGTGGTGTTGGTTCTTTTGCCAATTGTGTTGGCTAAGAATTGCACTAAAAATAGTGGCTGGGGCCAGTACTCCAGTACTTAGTGAAGGTTGTTGAGAAGGGGGCTGGTATGCCCTATACACACCCACACACATATATAGACATACATGTACAATTATATAATAGATAAATAACTGTACATGTCTGCACCCTCACGTGGGAATGCACGTGTTTGCATAGACCCACATGTATATATATATATATATATATATATATATATATATATATATATATATATATATATATATATATATATATATATATATATACACACACACACACCCACATGGCCACGTGTATATGTATATAAACAAACACTCAAGGGAACCCCCTGGTGTAGCGGCCATCCACCCATCTATCAATTTATGAAAAACAAAACAAATTCCAGGCGAGTAGTGTTGTGAATGTATACCTCTGGCCACAGACGCGTTGTATTTATCTTCGTCTAAGATGCTGTCAAAACTTTCCTGCAATAAAATATGGAATAATGTTGGAGTGTAAACTGATAAACGTGAGGATGAACTAACGAAGTAAATAGATGCTATCACTCAAGGACATGTTCTCACCACACACAAAAAGTAGGACTGTCTGCACTACATAGGAGTTTATGAATATAAATACAGTTGTCACAGCTGTTGCTGTAGCTACTGCCACCACTACCACCACCACCGTAACTTCTGCTGCTGCTACTACTACGACTTATGCTACCAATTTCCACTGCCATTAATATTTATATTACTACTGATTGTAAGTGAATAATGTCAGTGATACACACACACGCGCGCGCGCACACACACATAAACAAAGGCAAACACACACATGTATGTGTAAGCACAAAAACACACACAAAGACAGTCTGGTTATTTATACGATGGTCTCCCCATTTACACATCATCTGTTGTAGGTCACCACCATTGATAAGTTGGTTGGACTAGATTACTGTGGTCGAAGTTATCGGTATCGCAGTCTGTTGTTGTCTTGCATTTACGATTTTATTTCCGAGAAAAAGACGGCCTGTGACATAGATTTTGTCACTCTGTAGGCGCGTTGTGTGTTAGACCCAGCATCTAAATGTTTTAGAAGTGTTAAAAGCTCTGCCATGGTGACATTTACAACACGCAGTATGAGTGCGAATACGGAATACCCCATGACCAAGTGTGAAAGTCGGATCGCTGGAGGCCGACCTACCAGTAGTAAGCTGGCCTGTCAGTGGTCTAATCAGAAGCGAGCTAGTGTTTGGCTGTGTGTAAATGGGGAGACCAGCGTAACATTTAAAGACAGTCTCACTCACATACATGCACATTTACTGTATCCAGATTGCTCTAGAAAGAAGAAACTACAGACAAGAACCAAGAAACACAAAATCCACCGACCTTCTGTTTCTTATACTCTTCAAAAAGGATTTCTTTGGCCTTTGGGTCAGTCTCTTTCTGCAACAGAAGAAGAAAAAACTAATCACAAGTGTTCACATCTACAACTCAGATTCAAAAATTACCTTGTGAAATCAGATAGAAGAACAACAGAAATACTACGTGCATCTGTTTTTTTTTTTAGCATTATAGTGGTCTGGGTCTTCTTGCTCTGTTTTCTTCTGGGTCCTTTGTACAGTTTGTTGTGCACTCTGTTTTTTCCTGTCCGTGAAAATGCAGACAGAGACACGGGCACAAACATGCGTACACAGATTGCCAGAAATGATTCGCAGAAATACTTAGACAGAACACAAGCCCTATAATTTACAATTCACTGTGGCACCAAAAGGAACACAATCACTACTACATATGAACACAATCACTACTACATATGAACACAATCACTACTACATATGAACACAATCACTACTACATATTCGTATATAGGAAGAGACCTGGCAGAAACACAATAAAGGAGAGCACTATTTGCTGGAAGGTAAGAAATGTGAACTCTAAAGAAAACCATTAACTGTCTATATGAATTTATGTTCATTACCGATGACGATAGAAAACTCGTTGCACTTAGACGGCTTCAGAGACCTCAGTGGCAAGGTCAAGCAATTGATTACTAAAACAAAACCCATGTGAGTCCCAGATTAAACATACAAACAGTTTCTTGAGGCCTCAGAGATGTGGTTTTACAGAAGAATGCTTAAAATACATTGGACAGCCAAAAAGAGCAGCCAAGAGGTTTTGAAAGAGTCTGGAGCCCGAAGACAACTTATCACCGGTATCAGAAAAAGAGTCACAATTTTACGGCTATGTTATGAGAAGAAGAAAAATTAAACATGTTGTGACCACTGGAAAGATATGTGGAAGAAGGGATACAAGAAGACAACGAGAGCAGATTCTTGACAGTCATGTTGCCTGGCATGGATGTGTGTGGGCACATGAACTGATACATGCTGCAGGAGATCGCAGATTGTGGAGAAGCCTGATCGCCCACGCCAGTCGGCAAGGCACCTAATGATGATCATGATGACTGAAACCCACATATAGAAGGGTAAGGAACGCCAATACTATCTTTAAAAAGTTTTTTTTTTTTTTTTTTCAGAATATAAAATTGACCAGAATAATTAGCAATGATAATAGGGACATCAAAAATCCACTATGTTAATGACACATTGTTACTAAGGTTACTTGCGTATCCTTTACAGGACTTTGCAGAACCAACCCCAACAGGCCCTGGCTGTTGTGTGGTTTTTCTAGGCAAATTTACGTCTAGTAGTTTGCCATTGCTTCCCGAACGGTCGGTTTTCTTGATACCACTGTCGAAACCAACGCAAGGCGCATTGCCTGCAGCTGGGATCCAACCTGGCATCCCGGCATTACGAAACGTTCGCATCGACTTAGCCACAGAGCCGAAATTGTTAATAAGAATATCTAAATATTCACAGTACAATTTAAAAATCAGTCCACTATTTTAATGATACAATGTTAGAAAGATTATTTAAGTATTGAAAGTACACTTTTTTTTATAATCACAATCCGAATCACAAAGCAATATTTTGAAACAATACTAATTAAACATCTTTTTAAAATAAATAATAATACAATACATGAAATAACAAATATATACTCTGAGATATCAATGAACACTACATTTACCAACTATAACCCTAAGGACAGGACACGATATTTTTGAAAAATTACTGTTGCTACAGAACAAGGTTCATCAGCTACCTCTGCTGGTGTCTGGAGCATGTCATGCAGCCACATATTAACAGATCTCTTGTAAAGCTCCCAGAAGTTGAATGATTTTGTTGTCAGGCCAGGTGTCCTCTCCAGCCATTTCTGAAACATAACATTAATGTATAATCAATACTCATGCTGCGTCCGTGGCTAAGGCGTTGCGAGTCCGACTCGTAAGCCAGTATAACGCGATCGAAACCCACTGCAGACTGCGTGGATTTTTGTCGTGGTATGGGACGTCGCAGGTCGACCCAGCCTAAAATGGGTACCAGGATGGGCTGTCATGGAAAAGTAATGACAGCCGGCGTAATGCTGACCACATACATTACCCACAGAGTGCTGATGGTCTGTAAAAATATGGGACGCTCTGCCCATATGCCCGATGGTTAAACTATGGGGGTGACTGCAGTCAAGCTAATACAATGAATTCCAGAGAAATTTGACTAAAAAGCTCAACAAAATGGGAAAGAGGAAAACGTGCACAAAACAACAAAACGTAACGTTTCGGCTGGGCAGCCTTTTTCAAACACAAGTGAAAGACACAAACGAGGAATGGAGAGTATGTAGATCTCTAAGGGGTGACGTGAGCGCTTTAAAAAAATGTGATGCGGAAAAAATGAAATAAAATAAAATAAACGATGGCTAAAAAATATAGTCACAATACTGGGAATAAAAGAAATGCAAGTGGTAATGATACATAAATGATACTGATAAGAAATAGAATAAGGTAATAATATGAAATAAAATAAAAAAATTAACATTTAAAATGTGATAAGATTAGAACTATTTAGATGAAGGTATGTTGGATATTGATACCTCTTGGACTAAGAACGCCAAGGCTGTGGATAAGGCGATTTTCCAAAGCGAGGCGGGTAGTATGATCGCCAGAGCAAGATTTTAATGCTGTGACAGATATGTCATCTTTACCGCTGTGGTCAGGGCTATTAAAATGAAGAGGGATTGGTTTGAGTGTCTTCTTGTCGATATCGGAGAGGTGTTCCCGAAAACGATCAGCTAGCTTCCTGCCAGTCTCTCCAATGTATGCCTTGCTGCATCGTTTGCAGATAATTGCATAAATTACGTTGCGGGATTCGCAAGTAAAAGGTTCCCTAATTTGAAAAGAACCATTAGGGAAACTGACCGAAGAAGTCTGGACAACGAAAGGACATGTCTTGCAGGTGCTACGTGAGCACTGAGTAGTCCCAAAAGGAAGTGCTGTATGGATCGGTGGGAGTCGGCTTCGGACAAGTATGTCTTTAAGGTTGCGATCTCGTCTGTAAACTAATCTAGGTTTCTCACTAAAGATAATTTTGGTGTCCGGATCAGAGCGGAGGATGTCCAAATGACGAAAGAATACTTTGGAAGCAACCACATTGTTAGGGTGAAAAGTCAAGATCAATTTAGGTGCATCATTGGTGGAGTTACGTTTGGTAGGAAAAGCATCTCTTCTGGTGATTGCTAAAACTTTGTTTAGAGCCCCTTGTAGAATGTGTTCCGGATAGAAACGGGCACGGAAGAATTCAAGAAGTTCAACTGATTTATCAAAGAAGTCAGAATCATCAGAGCACAACCTGCGCAATCGAAGGAGCTGTGAATATGGAATAGAATTTTTACACGGTAGTGGGTGAGAAGACGTATAGAGGAGATAACTGTGAGAATCCGTGGGTTTGTAGTAGGCTGTGGTTTTCAGACACGGAAAATCGATGCTAATCGTGATGTCAAGAAAGTTAACTGAAGTGGTTGAGATCAGTGAGGTGAATTTGATAGCCGGATTGAAATTGTTGATGTAATTAATAAATTGGTCAAGCTCAACCATGGACATTTCGGTGATACCAACGCCATCATCTATGTATCTCCTATACACCTCCGGAAACTTGCCCGGGTATGATAAACTGTATATAAAAAAACTATGTATAGGAGATACATAGATGATGGCGTTGATTTTCCGTGTCTGAAAACCACAGCCTACTACAAACCCACGGATTCTCACAGTTATCTCCTCTATACGTCTTCTCACCCACTACCGTGTAAAAATTCTATTCCATATTCACAGCTCCTTCGATTGCGCAGGTTGTGCTCTGATGATTCTGACTTCTTTGATAAATCAGTTGAACTTCTTGAATTCTTCCGTGCCCGTTTCTATCCGGAACACATTCTACAAGGGGCTCTAAACAAAGTTTTAGCAATCACCAGAAGAGATGCTTTTCCTACCAAACGTAACTCCACCAATGATGCACCTAAATTGATCTTGACTTTTCACCCTAACAATGTGGTTGCTTCCAAAGTATTCTTTCGTCATTTGGACATCCTCCGCTCTGATCCGGACACCAAAATTATCTTTAGTGAGAAACCTAGATTAGTTTACAGACGAGATCGCAACCTTAAAGACATACTTGTCCGAAGCCGACTCCCACCGATCCATACAGCACTTCCTTTTGGGACTACTCAGTGCTCACGTAGCACCTGCAAGACATGTCCTTTCGTTGTCCAGACTTCTTCGGTCAGTTTCCCTAATGGTTCTTTTCAAATTAGGGAACCTTTTACTTGCGAATCCCGCAACGTAATTTATGCAATTATCTGCAAACGATGCAGCAAGGCATACATTGGAGAGACTGGCAGGAAGCTAGCTGATCGTTTCCGGGAACACCTCTCCGATATCGACAAGAAGACACTCAAACCAATCCCTCTTCATTTTAATAGCCCTGACCACAGCGGTAAAGATGACATATCTGTCACAGCATTAAAATCTTGCTCTGGCGATCATACTACCCGCCTCGCTTTGGAAAATCGCCTTATCCACAGCCTTGGCGTTCTTAGTCCAAGAGGTATCAATATCCAACATACCTTCATCTAAATAGTTCTAATCTTATCACATTTTAAATGTTAATTTTTTTATTTTATTTCATATTATTACCTTATTCTATTTCTTATCAGTATCATTTATGTATCATTACCACTTGCATTTCTTTTATTCCCAGTATTGTGACTATATTTTTTAGCCATCGTTTATTTTATTTTATTTCATTTTTTCCGCATCACATTTTTTTAAAGCGCTCACGTCACCCCTTAGAGATCTACATACTCTCCATTCCTCGTTTGTGTCTTTCACTTGTGTTTGAAAAAGGCTGCCCAGCCGAAACGTTACGTTTTGTTGTTTTGTGCACGTTTTCCTCTTTCCCATTTTGTTGAGCTTTTTAGTCAAATTTCTCTGCCCATATGCCCGATGCGTGAAAAAGGGAACTTTACTTTACTCATATACTACAAAACTTCTCATTTGCCATGGCAATTGCATCAGTGAGCATCGTAGGTGAACAGTCTTCTTCTTCTGTCGTCTCACTGATACCAGGTTGTAGCCGCCCGGTGTCGTGTTTTTCTGTGTTTGCACTTCTCGGGCAACTTGAGTGCTGGATTTGTTTATCCTTTTGCAGATTTCAGCGACATCATTTATCCACATCTTTCTTGGTCTTCCTTCCAGTTGTTCTGCTGTAAAAAGTTTCAAATGCAGTTTGGCCTGGCTGCATTTTCACTAGATGGCTGAACTAATTCATTCTCACTGTCAAGTTAAACTTTCTGGAAACTAGCATATGAGAAAAGAGAATATCATGATAATTGATGCAATGTAGAGTTACAATGTGAACTAATATGTAAGAAGAGAGAGGATCATTATAATCGATACAGTGCCAAGACACATTTGTATTTGTATTATAGCATTTCTTTGTCTATATTCATCAGAAAACGTTTACATTATGGCCGCAATATTTGCGCTTTCAGCTGACACATTGGACTTTTGCAGGGGTTACTTGCCCAGGTTAGCCTTCCTGGAAACAAAAATATGACAACAGTAAATTTTTTTTTAAGTAAAGGACCCTTTTCACGCCTTTAAGCGTATTGGCCAGGTTGAGCTAAAACATATAGTTTACATAGCCTGTGGCTTTGATAATCTAATTGGTTCATAGTCTTGAAGATGATAAGGGACCAGGAACTAACTATCTTCTCATTTGCATTTACCCTCTGTAAAATTAGGGTGAAAAGATTTCGTTGTTCGTCCACTTCTGGACTTTGATCTTGTTCCAAAAGTTGATCGTGCACATCTTTTTTTTTTTTTAAATAGATGTGCCCTTTTTGCATGTATACTGTTGGTTCCTCGCCTCTCGGGCAGACACACTCCTATTTCAAACGAAACATGCTTGTTTTGGGGCAGTGGGTCTATTCCCCTCTACCATCCAAATACGGCCCAGGAACTCTGACGGGGAAGGCAATAAATAAGGAACCAATCATCCAACTAATTAAATAACCAACACATAAATTAGATGTTTTGGACCATGGTATTTCATTATTTAATCAACACGGAGCAGGTGCTTTGCAGAACGTTGTTCTCAATGCTGTCTGTCTGAAAGAAACTCTGTCTCTCACCAGCTCTCCATCATTGTGTACTTTCATACACAAGGAGTCACTTATATCCCATGCCCATCTTCGTGTTGGTCGGCACCTGCCCCTCCCTCCTGGTACCATGCCTTCTGCTATTATTTCTTTACAATCCGCCATGGCTCTTGTTGCGACAAAAATACTTCAGCTTCCGAGACAAGATGCTGTTTATTAGCCAATTTTCCTTGATGTTTAGATATTTTAAAATGTCAGGATTTTTTCTCTTCTTTGTCCATTGTATTTTAATAATCTTTCTATAGCATTTAAGCTCAAAATATTCAACTATCTACGTATAGAGAACTTAGATAGGTCACGCTGTACATGTATGGTTTCAGATTAAATGATGCGATGTGATTTCAAAGTGGGTGAAGCTTTTAACATTGAACGGAAGGGTGGATACAAAGTGTGTGCTCTCTGACCTCTACCAACTGAAACAAAGATGGCTGCTCAATGGATTCTTGTAGCTGCTGTACTTGTTTGGGCTGTGAAAACACTTTGCTGTAGACTTGTTGGTTGTACTTGACTCTTGATGACTGTTAGAGAGAAACATTCACTGGCTAAAGACAACATTATTATTTTGTTATATAGAGCATATTTTAAGAGTATATTCCATATACTAAAATATCATGGACAATGCTAAATCTGGTCTGTGGAAGAAGCATTTAAAATAATATTCTGGTTAATGCTTGAAAAAATATTGTTAACTCTAAGTTAGTTAGTTAGCTAGTTAGTCGACATATTATGTCATTGCACATCGAACCATTCAGTCCCTAAGTGCTCGGGTCCACTCCTTGGTAAATCCCGCAGCCCGTAGCGTCTCAAGACACCAGTTCTGTGTTGATTTCTCATTTTTCTTTAGCTTCCTGTTTAGTGCTTTTGTCTGGTCACATTAACATATTGATCTTGCAGTCTGGTCATGGCTGAAGATTCACCGTCGTCACTTAGTTCTCGCAAACTTCTTACTTTTTGTTCAGCATTCAGAATTTCAGCATGGTCTATGGCTTGCTCACCCTGCACAGTAGCTTCATCTGCAAGCCGATCAGCTTGCTCATTTCCTTGCACGCCTGTGTGCCCCGACCGCTTTAGAGAGTCCAGCCATTTTTTTCGGATCCATCCCTTCTATATCTTCCTGAGCATACTGATTGGGTCACTGTGGAAACATGCATGGGAAAAGATCTGTGTGCCCAGCCATGATATTGCTTTGGTGACTGCCGTAACCTCCATAGTCAGACTACTTGTGGTCAAGGCAACAGCACTACAAATTTGCTTCACATTTCTAACTCCAACCTGAGCCATAAAAGCCCAAGAGCTTCCTACATGGTTAATTACAAATCCATATGAGTATATGACAGCGTACCCCTGTAGAGAAATCTTAGTATACTCCATAAGTAAACAAACAATGAAAAGCTTTGTTTAGAAAAAAAAAGTTAAAAAACAAATTTAACATGAATGTATATCCAGCATAGAATAACAACACTAAAAGGATATACGTAAAGTTAAAAAATTGGAAAATAGTTTTTAACAAATAGTAACTAAACCCTGGGCTTTATTTCTAGTTGCACCAGCCGGTATAATTTTAAGGTATCATTTATTCAGCGCCACTTAATAGACACTGTGTAGTGAGAGCGGCATTTTTTTCTGATACCTTGTAGTGAGTACAGGCATCTTTTTTAGACACTTTGTAGTGAGTACAGGCATCTTTTTAGACACTTTGTAGTGAGTACAGGCATCTTTTTAGACACTTTTTAGTGAGTACAGGCATCTTTTTAGACACTATGTACTGAGTAGCGGCATCTTTTTTTAGACACTCTGTAGTGAGTACAGGCATCTTTTTAGACACTTTGTAGTGAGTACAGGCATCATTTTAGACACTTTGTAGTGAGTACAGGCATCTTTTTAGACACTTTGTACTGAGTACCGGCATCTGTTTAGACACTTTACAGTGAGTACCGGCATCTTTTTCGACACTTTGTACTGAGTACCGGCATCTTTTTTTAGACACTCTGTAGTGAGTACAGGCATCTTTTTACACACTTTGTAGTGAGTACAGGCATCTTTTTTAGACACTTTGTAGTGAGTACAGGCATCTTTTTAGACACTTTGTACTGAGTAGCGGCATCTTTTTTTAGACGCTCTGTAGTGAGTACTGGCATCTTTTTTACACACTTTGTAATGAGTACTGGCAACTTTTTTAGACACTTCGTAGTGAGTCCCGGCATCTTTTTAGACACTTTACAGTGAGTAGCGGCATCTTTTTTAGACACTTTTACTGAGTACCGGCATCTTTTTTAGACACTTTGTAGCGAGTACAAGCATCTTTTCTAATCACGTTGTAGTGGGTAAAAGCATCTTTTTTTTTAGACACTTTGTAGTGAGTTCCGGCATCTATTTTAGACACTTTGTAGTGAGTACGGGCATTGTTTTTGTAGTAGAGAAAAGTAAGCTAGTGGCGTGTCCTTTACGGGATGTTGCAGAACCAACCCGCCCCTCCCCCCTTTTTTAACATTGTGTGCCCTTTGCAGTTTTCATAGGCAAAATGACATTCAGTAGTTTGCCATTGCTCCCTAAATGGTAAGCACTATCCAAACCAATGCCAAATCGCTTGCATCTGGAATGGAACCCAGCATTACGGCATTAAAAAACGCTTTCGCAACGCCTTAGCCACAGACGCCTATGCTAGTTGGAAAACACTGCGTTAACATTTAAAGGTTGGAGAGAAAAATTAAAATCTATGACTTAATAGCTGGCAGTAAATAAACAATCCATACAAATTATGAGCTTTCACCAAATAAAAATGATAAAACTGACAAACCTCCAAGACCCCCATCTTGTTCTCCAAAAGACGGAACTGTAGACTTTGGAAACCAGAGGCCGTGGATAGCTGAAGTCTGAGGGAAGACAGACACAAGACAATGCCCGAGCTGTATACATGACTAAGATGTATACATGACTAAGATGTATACATGACTAAGATGTATACATGACAAAGATGTATACATGACTAAGATGTATACATGACTAAGCTGTATACATGACTAAGATGTATACATGACTAAGCTGTATACATGACTAAGATGTATACATGACTAAGCTGTATACATGACTAAGCTGTATACATGACTAAGATGTATACATGACTAAGATGTATACACGACTAAGCTGTATACATGACTAAGATGTATACATGACTAAGCTGTATACATGACTAAGATGTATACATGACTAAGCTGTATACATTACTAAGATGTATACATGACTAAGATGTATACATGACTAAGATGTATACATGACTAAGCTGTATACATGACTAAGATGTATACATGACTAAGCTGTATACATGACTAAGATGTATACATGACTAAGCTGTATACATGACTAAGATGTATACATGACTAAGATGTATACATGACTAAGATGTATACATGACTAAGCTGTATACATGACTAAGCTGTATACATGACTAAGATGTATACATGACTAAGATGTATACATGACTGAGATGTACCACTGCTCTCTGTGGTGTGCTACCTGTTATCAATCGTGTTACATGGCCAAACTATTTGATTTGTTGTCTACAGATAGTTCAGCATTGGCTCTTCATGAATTTCCTCCCGATAAAATCTTTCCCAAATTGAGCTTTTCTTGTTGCACCTAGCAAGATATATAAACATTTCATGTCTGTGTCTATTTTCCTTCTGAAGACACTATCTTCTGAAGACAATGTCAATGTTTGATCCTAGTAAGGAAGTAAATTCTGCCCCACCTTGACATCACTCAGAGCGTTAAACACCCGATGACACAAAGTGCCACTATTGGGATAAGGATCACCCGTGGAGGTTCACATAAACCGCGATCAACCGTTAGGCTATATTGTGGCCCATGGCAACACCAGGGTGGGGCTTCAAACTCACGAAAACTTGCATCCCCAAGGAGGGGGGGGGGTGGCTAATGATTATAACGTAACGTTTGATCCTGGAACAGTGCTCTTTCAGTGTTTATATTCACGTGCTTGCATTTAACATCCATTTGACATCTCGACATTTTTGTGTATGTTGGGATATTTTTGTTTAATGTTTTTTTTTAATGCGCTGTTGTTTGGCTTTCGAAAGCTTCATAATGCCAGGGTGCCAGGTTCGATCCCAGCTGCGGGCCATGCGCCTTGCATTGGTTCCGACAGTGGTATCAAGAAGCCGACCGTCCAGAAGCACAGGACGTAAATTTGCCTAGGGAAACCACACAACAGCCAGGGGCTGCTGGCGTTGATTCTGCAACGTCCTGTAAAGGATACGCAACTAACCTGAACTGCTGGGGTACAAATTACATACCTACCTACCTTGCTGTTTATAATTTAAACGCTGCTGAGTAGTCTACCCCTGAAAAAAAAAAACAACCGATGACATCGAGTGGGGAGACAGCCCTGTTGACCAGTGCCTTCTTTGCTGGCGTCCCATTTCTTTTCTTCACTAATGAGTTGGGTTTTTTTTTTTTCACTCCTGGACTGACTGCTTGGCTGCCCATTTGTTACTATGTTTTCAACATTTGTCTACACATCAAGAACATGCAAATTGCACAAATAGACTCACCTAAACTCCAAGAAATCTAGCGGAGTCATGGTCTCCAAGATATCAATTTGATCCCCAAGCAGCTGCAGGAATGAACAGAATCAACATCAGCAGATTGATGACAATGATTAAACACAAGATAAACACGTCAAAGACATTAGAAAGAAACAATCACTAATCCTTAGTCACATGGTGAGATGACAAACTGTCAGTTTTTCTTAGCCATTTCATGACTGGATAACAGTAGGGCACCCAGTGACTTCAAGTTCCTTTAATTTTCTTGACATTGGATACCTGAAGTTGTGTTTCCTGCATGAACTACATCGACATCTGGAAATCGTGCAAGCGTTTGATGTTTCAGATCTAGACTTATTTCTCACAGCCATCAACGAGACATTTCTGTGTGTGCCTGGTACAGTGTTATAATTTATATTCTGAATGTCAAGGAGCTCACTTGTACCCTTTTCCTTAGAACCTGTCTCTAGCATCATACCCCATCCGCACACTGGACAACAGATCCTTTGGTAACCTTAGGCGGGCCTTAATATAACTGTTGTTAGACTGAGTGGGGTTCATGGGAGCTGCTCCTGTTTGATGGTCATCCTTAAGGTGTTTATCTAATGGATAGCAATCCTAGAGGGTGGACACTGACCGTCCTCCTATCCCTAGCATTGTGGCAGTGGAGTCTAATATGTCCTGTTATGAGTCAAGAAAATAGTGACCGTTCATGGCTTTCATTTATAACAGTGTCATCCTTAGATTGAGCAGATGATTTTAAACATTTGTGTTACAGTTTTATTTTACAATAGGTAACTAGAAAATTTGATAGTTATGTCTCAGTTCCCGGATTGGCCAGTTTGACAGCCTTCTTATTCATAGTAAACCCCAGAAAAGTGAGATCCGCTTCACAAAGAAACTACATAGCTGACAGATTCGTCACATTAGATTCTACTGTTTGCATGCTGATGGATCTAAGTGCTTAGAAAACATAAATCTCTATCATGCTTGCAAATAAATATATATTTTAAAGAATATAAAAATATTCATAGTTCTTCAGATGCAGTAAAGTAGAGAATGATGTGAACTTATTTATTGATGCAAGAAGTTCCAAAAAGTTAGGAAAGAAACCAGATTGCCCATGTCAGCTAAAAAAGTAGTTACTGATGGAAATCTTTTTCTTCTTCAGCGATCTCTGGTCATGTGCATAATCCACCGTAGGCCATAAACTGGGATGACAGCTTAGTTATCAGGTTTACTGAATGTGGTCTTTTGTTGCTCCGCAGCTCCGCCTCGACAGGACAGGACAGACAGCCTTGCAAAACATGTTCCTGAGTCTATCCAGCACGAAGACATTGGCAGAGAGCTGTTTGGCTCATACCTAATTTATATGAGTTTTTTTTTTTTTTTTTTTGTCTGTTCCGATCAGGTGTTTGAGGAAATATTTTCCATGACTATGAACTATGTTAGTTTTTTACTCGGTTTTTTTATTTTTATTTTCTCATAATGTGGGTTTTGACTTCTGGAAAAAAAAAACAATGGCTGGTAAATGAGTGGTTTGCTGCTGCCTTCCTTGACTAAAACGTCAGCGCTTTCGTTGCCTTTGATGCCACAATGAGATAATAGAATCCACAGCAGGTGGAGTTTTGCCTTTTTGCCAATGTGACAAGTTCCTTTGCTAGATTTCTGATGGAAATTATGATATTCAATTTGATCATGGTCGCTTTGATGAAATGTTAATGATGATGCTGATTACCTTGAGAATCAAAGTTACTCGTCCAAGCCGGTTCAGAATCAACAAAGTGTTGGTCTCATCCAGAACCTTCAGGAAGATATAAGCTATGGTCAATAGAAACCAATTCACTACCAACAAGGAGATTTCCTCACCTACTCAACAGTTAAGAGAGTCGCCTTGGCATAGCGGCTAGACGCTCGCATCGCAGATCGGAAGGTCGTGGGTTTGCTCCCTGACGGAGCCTGGAGTTCACCCAGCCTATAGAACATGGGTACCAGAGTTACCACTCTGGGGTAAATTGAGGAACGTTGTTTCAGCTACAGTTTCGTGCGCGACGGCGACACAGGCTGGCAGTTTCTTATCAGCCGTCCGTACTGGTAGCAGAGCACTTATGGTTTATAACCGTGTGCAATGACTCTGGTTTACATCTTCCGACTTTACCTTTAGTGAAAACAGCTTTCTATGAAACGTGTTTTCTTTCCCACTATTCATTAATGGTATCTCTGTTCTTTCGGCACTAATCAGTTCTCATCTCTACGGGACTTTTACTGGGAGGTAAGCAGTGGGTCTAGATGATTCTGTACCCATAGATGAAAAAAATATATGAACTTTAATTAGGCTACAACTGGTACCTTCAGTATGGGAACTCTTGCCAGCTAAGGCAGGAGACCGAGTACATATGGGAATGTCCCAAGTGCATTGATGTCAATTCTTGATTCATCCATATACAGCCAGGTATGAGGAGCGTGACCCATACTTCACACCTGGTGTTTAGACCGAGAACAGACCTATCTAACAAAGATATCGTTTTATGTGAGTAGTCTATCTAGCCATCATCGAAGTTTACTTTGTTCACTAAACGAACCAACAAACTTTATTTTCAAAACGTTAAGAAAAAGGCACGCAGGTCCGTCTAACATTCTGCCCTTCGAGGTCTACCTCATTTCTTACGTCATATTTTTCATTCATCAAGTAATATTAAATATTATCAATAGCATCAAGATATTCGATACAAGCACATTTGTAACTACAGTAGACCGTAGTAATTGTAGCAAATTTAGGTAAAGTGTGCGCTATTTCTAGAACATTTTTTATCTTCTATGGGGGCATATAATCTGTGCTCAAATAATATTCGAACAGTTTCCGATTGTAAATATAAGGACTAGATGTAATTTTGATTTGCTGTGGCAGATAGTTCCAAAACTGAGCTGCGGAGCACGCCAAACTTGTTTTGTATAGGTCTAAGTAACATGGAGCCTTTTGGGATAATATTTTGTGAATAAGTTTCGCCTTGTTGAAAAGTAGACGCTCACGAAGCGGTAGTAGCCTAAGACCCTTATTTGTTTCGGAATTTACTGTCCCATGATTGCTACTAATTTAGCGAATAGAGCGCTTTTGCATTTGGAGGTGTTCAGTTAAAATCCTGGTTTGGCTGCATCATAGCTTTCCATCATTACGTTGTCCACTGTGTTCTTTAAACTCTTGCGTCTACTTATATGAGTACTGACCTTTCCCAGTTAATGCAGTTCTCATGTTTGTTCATTGCGTTGGCAAAACAAAGGGACACATCGTGATCTAGGTGACATAAAGATATTATTTTTCTTAGTGTTCAACGGCAGGTTTTTCATCCATTGCTAGATCTTGGTCTTTTTTTCAGAACTTGAGTTTTGTGTGTGCAACCGTTTTACAGATATGGCTCATTTGTATGCAGACTGTTGGTTCCTCACCTCTCATGCAGATGATTTCCGCTTCAAATGTAACACCCTAATTAGCCATCTTTTATGGCATGCTTGTGGAAGGGCGTGAGCTTCTACTATTATTCCCAAAAATGGGTTCCCAGAAAACACACGGATATCACAGAGATGAATAATCAATAGTTTAGAAGGATACAATGATATACAAACATTTCAAACATAGTACACTAATGTAATCTTGTTAAAATAGAACGAGAACACATGTGAACCGATAAGAACAAGGTAAAACAACAGTGACACAACAACAGCTGTTAGCTTGAGACCTTACAAAAGACAGTTAAAAAAAGAAGTCAACAATAGATAAGACTGGGCTAAAAAGTGTGGGTCACAACGAGGTATCTCACCGGTGACATAAACATGGCCCGGACAGAGTCCACCTCATGCAGGACTTGTTTGAACCACAATTCATAGGCTGCAGATAGAGAAAAGCAGCAGATCAGTGAGGCCAATATACTTTTTTTCTGGGCTTTGATTTGCAGTATTTCGACGATAAAATACCTAAATATCAGACGGAAGCATTAAGTCTTGAAATATTTAAGTACCAGACGACTTCGAAGGATATTCACATCAATCTGGTAATGTGGTAATCTTAGTTTCAGCTTCATAGCAAACTGGTCACGCCATAGTTGCTCCGCTCCTGTGCCAACGAAAAACACACAGAATGTTTATCACAGCAACACTCAGGTTCTGGAGCAGGACTGCAGTTCAGTAGTGGACGAGAAACCAGAACTTTCCACCAGAGTGTACAGCTGGTGAACGCGAAGAAGAAGAAGAAGTTTATCACAGTCCCTTGTGGACAGATTGACAGACTGCTGTCACATCAGCGAACGGGTTGCTCTTTGGCTGGCAGGTTGACGATTTCGCAGAATATTCTCAAGGGTAGCAGTTGTTCCCCCGTGAATACATAATGTAATCACATGATTGTCACAACACATACTTGGGGTGTTAAAAAAAAACAGGCCAGATTTATTACTGTGCTTAGACTAAACATCAGATCACATTGTTGGTTGCATGTTATACATGGGCACAAGTTGATCCTACACGGTGCATTTGTTGGGGTCTGAAATAGTTTACACACCTAGTATTAGACCGTTAACGTTAACCTCCCTGTGTGGGATGAAGAATAGAATTACTGCCCCCCCCCTCCCCCACTCTTCCCCACCTCTTCTTTCACCCAGCAAGCTTATTTTAAAAAGCGACTAATCGAAGAAAGCATCTGACTAAAATGGGCGAGGAACCAACAGTCTGCATACTAATCAACCAGATCTGTAAAACAGACGTGCGTGCAAAATGCAAGTTCTGGGCAAGCCAAAATGCAGAAATGAAGGCAGAACCAGAAAGTTTTACCAGATTTTACAGTTGTTGAAGAAGAAGCAACAGAAGAAGTTACATTAATCCCTACTGCTGTTGGGTCTAATCAAGTGCAAATATTACCTCTAATTGATATACAAGGTCCGACACTTAAGTAATGAAACTGATTTTATTATGGCCAAGACGAACATTTCATATATTAAGCAAAGCATGGAATCCAAAGAGACAACCTTTATCTATGATCTGGCAACTTTGCATCGCCACCCAGAAAGCACATGACAAACAAGCAACCATTTTATTGACCTAGTTAGATGTGCTTTGTTACGAAATCAGCATGGAACAAAAACTAGCATTAAATTCTGTTTAAACCTCAGAAAAAGCGCCATTGAGACATTTGAATTGATGCGACAAGTTTATGTGAATAATTTTTCATCTCGTGCACAGCTTTTCATGTGGTATTCACGATTCAATAGGGGCATAGAAATTATTACTAATGCAACTAGACAAGGACGTAAAATGTATGTTCGTAATAGTGAACTCATTGCAAAAGTCAGAGAACGGATACAAGAAGATCATTGTTTTAATGTGAGGATGATGGCAGATGAATCTGATGTTAATAGAGAGACCATTTATAATATTTTAGTGCAAGATTTTGGCATGAAGAAAGTTGCTTGCTGGTTTGCACAACATTTGTTGTCTGATGACCCAAAACATCAGCGGGTTGATTACCCAAGAGACATAATCAAAACAAGAATTTTTTTTTTGCTCTCAAACAAGTTTGTGTTCTCAGCCTTCCACCCTATTCCCCAGATTTGTCTCCCTGTGATTATTTTCTATTCCCAAAAATGAAGTTACGATTGAAATGACGCTTTTTTGACGATATTGATGACATCCAAAGGGCCGTAACATCGACGTTAAGGGTCATAACAACAAAAGAACTACATAGGTCACTCTAGTAATTGTTAGATTGTGCCACTTTCTGTATCAATGCACAAGGGGCTTACTTTAAATAAAATACAGGTTATATCTTCAACTGTTGATTATTTAAACTTCTATGCAATTAGTCTCATTTCTTAATTGTCGGACCTTGCAAATAATCTAGTAACAGGACAGAGTCAGTTTATGTAAACATAGAATGAGGCCCACAGATTATTAAAATTAAAGATATTTGCTGATCCAGTTTCGTCCTTTTTAGGACGAAATTTGTTGTTGTTTAAAGCCCCACCCTGGCTTTGCCAGGGGCCGCAATAAAGGCAGGCCAATTGTCTTAACGCGGTTTCTAGGACCTCTCCATGGCGATCCTCATCCACATGGTGGCACTTTGTGTCACAAATCTACCCTGGTCACACAATCTACCCTGGTGTGATATAGCGACAAAATTATGTCCTATTCTGTGGTGTAATATAAAACAAAACCCACCCTGGTATGTGTTATAGAGCACCATCTACCCTGGTGTTTTACTTAAAACATAACTCCCTGGTGTGATAAAGAAAAACATCTAACCAGGTGTAGGATACAGAAGGAAATTTACCATGGTATGTGCAGCTAAGAGCAAGTCATGTGTGACATAGAACTAAACTGACCCTGAGCCTGGTATGTGATATAGAACAAAATCTATCCGGCTGTGTTTGTGTGTGTCTGTGTGTGTTTAATGGAATAAAACTCACATTATTGTGTGTTTGTGTGTGTCTATGTGTGTTTAATAGAACAAAGCTATGCTAGTGTGTCTTTGTGTGTGTTGTATGGAACAAAACTCACCCTGGTGTGTATTTGTGTGTGTTTGTGTGTGTCTGTTTGTGTTCTATGGAACAAACCTCACCCTGGTGTGTGTTTGTGTGTGTCTGTGTTTGTTCTATGAAACAAAACTCACCCTGGTGGGTGTTTGTGTGTGTCTGTGTGTGTTCTAAGAAACAAAACTCACCCTGGAGTGTGTTTTTGTGTGTCTGTGTGTGTTCTATGGAACAAAACGCACCCTGATGTGTGATAATGAACAAATGCTCATCATGTACAGGCTTGTTGATGACTGCGCTCTGCATCACCTGGCTGTTGAGGATGTTGTCCAACTGTTCAGATGAAAAGCATCAAGATTGAACATATAAAGAAAAGAAAAACATCAAGATTCAACACGTGAAGAAAAGACAAACATCAAGATGCCACATATGGAGACAGGATAAACGTCAGGAATCAACATGTGATGTCAAGAGAAACATCGAGATTAAACATTTAAAGAAACATAAAAATATTTAATATCTGAAGAAAGACAACCCTCAAGATTTAATGTTCGAGAAAAGACAAACAGATTCAATGTGTGAAGAAAGACAAACATCGAGAATTGCCATTTGAAGAAAGACCAAAAGATTCAATAAATGATGAACGACAAACAACAAGATTCAACATATGAAGAAAGACAAACATCAAGATTTAACATTTAAAGCAAAACAAAAAGATTCAGTTAAGAAAGACAAACATCAAGATTTCACACATGGAGACAAACATCAAGATTTCACATATAAAGAAAGACAAATATCAAGATTAAACATACGCAGAAGAAAAAAAAATCAAGATTTAACATTTAAAGAAAGAGAAAAGGATTTCAAAATATGAAGAAAGACAAACTTCAAGATTCAACAAATGAAGAAAAGACAAACATCAAGATTTCACAAATGAAGAAAGGCAAACATTGCGTACCTCGTTTACACACACACCCACCCACACACATACACACACCCACCCTCAAACATACACACACTACTCACACAAACACGCATTCATGTGCGTGTGTGCACGCGCGCACACTCACACACACAAGTATCTTTCACGATGTTTTATCAATGTCAACCTAGGTTCAGTGAAGCAGCTGGTCGAACGGTTAGAACGCTGGGCTCTCATCGCTTGATCTCCCACGCCATTCGACAAGGCACCTGATGATGATGCTGAGTTTGCCATTGCCTATGAAAGGTCAGCTCTCGGTACCACTGTCGAAACCAACTCAAGACAAATCGACCCCAGCTGGGAACGAACCCGGCACCCCAGCATTACAAAGCGCGTTCGCAACTACTAAGCCACGGATGTTGAGTACACGTCATGATAGTTTGAAAGTCGGAGGGTAAGAGGGGCAAAGAGACAGAATGCTGGACAGCTGGATATCATGGCATGGGGGAACAACTGTTTCAGAAATGGTTAAAAAGGCTGTGGACAAATACGACAACTAACAACACCAGCAGTTGCAGTTGTGATACTAATGATAGTGGTTATGATGATGATAATGGTGATGATAGTGGTGACAGGGATGATGATGATGATGATAATGATGATGATAATGATAATGGTGGTTTTGGTGATACTGATGAAGTGGTGATACCGGTGATGGTGGTGATAATGATGATGATAATGATGCTGATAGTTTTGATACTGATGAAGTAGTGATACTGACGAAGTGGTGATATTCATGAAGTGATGATACTGACGAAGTAATGATACTGATGAAGTTGATGGTGCTGATGATAGTGGGGATACTGGTGTAAGTCATACCAACATAACTAAACCAGTGTGCAGATTACAAAACTGATGAGAATCAAGACTCAAACAGAAGGCTGTGTGACAAATATAATTGCAAACGCCACACGGCACAGACCATAAATGGACAACAACTGACCGTCAATTAAACTTGAAATACAAAGATAACTCACACAGGAAATATTCGCCCCAAATTTCTAATAAATTACCATCAAGTATGAATGATAGTTGAGTTGTG